AGCTCATTGGGCATTGTGTGTGTGGGGAGGCAATCTATAAATATGTCATGATGAAATGCCCTCCTGAATGTTGCCTTGAGGACACCTTGCAAGTACAGCCAGGAATAAAAATGGGTAAGCAAGCAGTCTCTCTGGAGAATGGCAAGCACATTGCATGACAATGAAGGCTACCCAACACACTCAGTGGGAGGGCCAGCTAGGTGGGGCATGGCAATTTTCTCCCATTGCATCAGGACAAAATCCTGTGCCCCTCCTCCAATATTTCATTCCAATTAACTTTGTTATAGGTTGGTTTGGTAAATTAACCAGCACGTACCCCATGTCTACTTCATACCTGCTTACAATAGGAAGCTAGAAATACTGCTGGTTTGCACCACAACGAATGGCTTTAGAACGTTGCTCCATTTAATTTGGTATTGTTTATGCCAACTTTATGACTAGTGGACTTCAACTCCCAGAATTCCTGAGCCAGCATGTTGTAAAGTTCCCATAGTTACCCACGCCTGGTCTATGTTTCCTTCCTTCCTTCCTTCCTTCCTTCCTTCCTTCCTTCCTTCCTTCCTTCCTTCCTTCCTTCCTTCCTTCCTTCCCTCCCTCCTTCCCTCCCTCTCTCCCTCGCTCTTTTTTCTTTTTCTTTCTTTTCCTCTCTTCCTTTCTGTCTTCTCTCTCTCTCTCTCTCTCTCTCTCCCTCTCTCTCTCTTTCTCTCCTTCTTCTTGTGTGCTAATCCTGTCCTGAACTATTGATTTGGAAATATGCTTTGAGTTCTCTGCAGCCATGCAGGTTGACGTTGTCTGGGAGAGGGCCTTTTTGCAAAATCTACCTGAAATGTATTTTATGGACTGGCACCATCTGGTGGCAGGAGAGTCCTTTTAGCATTGCAACCAGAAGCAGACAAACAGGTGAAATGCTACCCTGGGCAGAGCAATTTTTTTCCTTGTGGGAGGAAATGTTTCTTTTCTTTCTGTTCTTGCAATGCCTTTCTGCTGCAAATACTCTTGTGGAGAATATATTTGAATACAGAAGTATAAACAACAATGGATGAGCTGGCTGAGGAATTCTGGGAGATATAAGTCGACCCACCTTAACATGGCTGAGGTTGAGAAACATTGCCTTAACAACCGATGGTTTCCGGACAAATTCTCAATTTGCAGGAAACCTTGTTTTTCTTCCAACAACTTGTTTTTTTTCCCCACAGAGCACAGTTTGCTTGCAGTTGGCCAGGTACCTATTTCCTCACCTTAATCTTCCATGCAACCCTGAAATCTCAAAATGCAGCATGAAAGACCTAGTAGGACTTTCTCCCTCTGTGCCCTGTTTGTCTAAGAAAACTGACTTGGCTGAAGAAATGATAAAACATCAGGGGTTTAGTTCCAAGAAAAAGAGATTAAAATAAAATAAAGGGATGAGGTGAATCATCAGCTTCTCAGAAAGCACTGTGGAATTTAACACTTAGCACTTTGGGGTAAGAAAAAGGGGGCTATTTTTAGCCAGCCCCACTGGAGATATCAGAAATGTTGGTTTATAGAAGAACAGCTGAAAATGATTTTTTCCCGCTTCCAAATGAAAGATGCAGGTTTGCTGCATAAGTCCCTGGAGACAGTTTCTATATGCCCATTTTCGTATAAACGTGCAAATAATACTCAGGGTTGCCATTTTATGTTTCAAAGTTAAATGAAAATCTCTAAGAATCTAGGAAAATCCATTTAAAATAAGATTTGACTCATCAAAAATTTTAAAATCCATGCAGTGGGAGAGCCCAGGGTTTTGACCTGGCCCCAGTGCTGGCCAACATTTTTAGAAATAATTTAGGGGAAAAAAGGCATTCTTAGGATAGAAAAGATGCTTAGCAAATCGGCAGACTATCCAGAGCGAAAGAGGATTGCTAACTCCTCTAAGAGAGGCTCAGGGTGCAAATGCATCTTGACACACTTGATCAGAGATTATAAGTACATTGGCAACATTTAATAAACACAACAACACAAAAGCTCTCCCCCTGTGGCAGGTAATTCAAAATTCCTGAGGGACTTGGCGTATTATGTAAACTCAGCAAACTCTCTTGAGCCAGAACTTAGGAGGTCTGCACCAGGATTGTCAAAACATGGCAACTTTAAGACTTGTGGACTTCCACTCCCACAATTCCATGCTGGTTGGGGGATTCTGGGAGTTGAAGTCCACACGCCTTAAAGTTGCCAAGGTTGCACACCACGGTCTACACCATACAGGGAAAGAAGACAATTTACTGTATGATAATCACCGTGGTTTTAGCAAGATCTGTCATGCATCCTGAAGCCATATACTGGCAATCCTCAACTTGCTTAACAACCATTTGAAGTTATAAGGTACTGAAAAAAGCAACAAGCAGCCCTTGCACTTTCTGACCATCGCAACTTCCCCATGGCCTGGGGATCAAAATTGGGGCGCTTGGCAACCGGCATGTATTTATGATGGTTGCAGCGTCCCGGGGCATCACATGACAAATGTTTCACTTAGCAACATCAATTTTGGGCTCAGTTGTGGCCGTAACTTGAGGACCACCTGAATTTAAAGATCTCAGCTGTCCCTAACAATAAAATATTCCAGACATATGCTTAGGAATCCAGAAATACTGTCTGACGCTGCTCCATGGAATATTTGGCTACGGCAGAGCCATGAAAAGAGCCATGTGCTTTTTTGTGTTAAGTAACCGGCTGCTGGTTTCTGCATTTGCCCACTCTTTGCCTAATGTAACACAGGAAATAGCATTCCCTCTCAAGACGTCATTAACCGAACAACTTGCAATGCCTGCATTTTAGTAAAGTGCTGATAATGGTTCCATCTGGCATTTATTTAGTTTTTTTTAAAATGTGCCACCAAATATTGGAAGTCTTGAGCTCCTGCAGAAGAGAGATGCTTTGGAAAGGGCAAGAACGTGAATTTTAGGAGATGGTTAAATGGCCTGATGTTGACATGATTAAAAGATTCAAGCCAACCCAGTTTAGAGACATCAAGGTTGCTACCGGTATACAGATGCTGCTGCTTTAGCAGTGGCTGACTTGTTTTCTTCTCCCTGAATCTTATCCGGTAAGCTCAGAGTTGTTTGAAATGAGACACGGCTGAATAGCGACCCCCTTCCCCAGTTTTGCTTCCTTGTTGCTGTCTGTCCACAGTTTGGGATTATTTGGTCATCTAGCAAAAGTTGGGCAACTCAGGTGCTGAAGCACTTCGTGGTACTGGAATCCAGGAAGAGGTTGCCCTCAGCTTTCAAATGCTAAATTGAGGCTGATTTTATGTGAAATTTATCTATGAAATTTAGAGTATATTTTAAAGTAAAATTAGAAGTCCCTTGGCAAACTATCTGTCATCGTGACTTGAATGAAGACAGAAAGAGGTGATAGAGCATTCAAAATATTCTTTGATGTAAGCTTTTGGGGAGCCCCAGGGGTTCATCTGGACTTCGAAGAAGCAGGATAGCAGAGGATGGCTGCTCTTTGACTTGGATGTTGGAGAAGACTTCTTAGAATACCACGGATAGCAAGAAAACAAACCGACGGATCAGTTAACCAATCTGTGTAGTGGCTCAGCGCATCACCCCAGAGGTGTCCTTGCCATTGACTAGTTCCCTCTCCTGGGCAATCTGGGATACCCAAAAGGAAAGACAAACAGCCAAACTTTTGAGGAAGGCAATTCTTTGGGGAGATTTGTTGACGCAAGTGGGAGGTTTGTTCAAAAACACAACGTTGACTGGTCTCTCTTTGGACTTCCCTCCCTGAATCACCAGAAGAGAATATTTGTAGCTCAGGGTTGAACTGTGGAGTCTTTGGTTCTCTGTGAGTTGGTGACTTTCTTGTAGATGTTTCATGATCCCTAGACGGGTCATAAAACATCTGCAAGAAAGCCACCAAGCTCACAGAGAACCAAGGACCCCACACAGCCTTGACACTGGGAGATGTGGGGCTCAGCCATAAAACTGAGGAGAGGGGAGATGGTCCTCAGCTTCAGGGGTGGCTCATTTCAACAGGAAATCTCTTCCACCTGGAGTGACAGGCCGTTTGGGTGGCATGAGCGACCATCTCCTAACTGACAACACAAGAACTGGATTCCTAGAAGAAGGTCTTGTCATTTGGGGGTTTAGGTGGGAACACAAGATTTGGCTACCCAGTATCAAGCGGCTGGTCAATTGCAATGGACTTGGGAAAATAAATGTGGATATAATTATCCATATATCTGCCCTAATCCTAGTTAAATTTTCATCGGCAATGGGATTTCCCCATGTATTTTACTGTGATCCATAAACAACTCGGACTGAAAAGCTGTCACCATCACTGAAACGGCCAGGTTGAAGAAAGGGCTGCAGCACCAGGTGGGGCAAATGGAAGTGGGACTCCAGCAAGGCGGAGGTGGTTGGGTGGGAGGGGATGATGGGTGTGGGTGTAAGAATGGGATAATGGTGGGAGGCGGGTAATGGTGGGAGGCCAAGCACCGCTGGCTGGGCAGGGTGGGCATTGTCGTAGCCCAGCCATTCTGGAGGGCAGCCAGGCCTCCTCCCGGCACCCTGAGGATGTGGTGCATCGCCTCCCCCCCCCCATGCCCCTCCGGCCTCTCGCTCCTCGCTTGCCACCACCACTGGCTTGGGGTGCACTGGAGGGGAACCACCGCTGCCCTCCTTCTCCTCTCCTTCTCTCTTTCCTCCTCCTCTTCTTCCTCTCTCCCTTGCTTCCTTCTCTCTTTCCTCCTCCTCCTTCCTTCCTCCTTTCCCTCTTTCCTCGTCCTCCTCCCTTCCTCCCCTCTTTTCTTCTCTTCTTCCTCTCCCCCCTTCCTTCCCTCCCTCCTTCCTTCCTTCCCTCCCTCTTTCCTCCTCTTCTCTCTCCATCCCTTCCTTCTTTCCGCCTCCTCCTTTCCCTCCCTTCCTTCCCTCTTTCCTCTTCTTCCTCCCTCCCTCCCTCCTCCTCCCCCTGCGCGTGAAGGCGAGGGCTGGGCGGGGGCTGCGGCCGCCTTCCTCCCCCGCCCGCCCCGTCCCGTCGCTGCTCCGAGGAGGAGGAGGAGGAGGAGGCGGCGGCGGCGGCGGCGGCCGCCCTTGTGCTTCCTGCCCAGCCGGGGCTCAAGGGCGGCGGGAGGGGGCTCCGCAGCCCCGCCGCTCGCCCGCTCGCTCGTCCGTCCGTCCGCCTCTGGCCCGGCGGCAGCAGCGAGGCGCCTGCATTGCAGAAGCCGCCCCCCCGCCCGGCTCCTGCCCTTGGCTGCCAGCAGAGCGGCCGCCGCCTCCGCCCGCCGGGATGCCGGCGCCGCGCTGCCCCGGAGCAGGTAAGGCGCGCCCGGCCGGGCGGACCGGGGAGCCGCGGAGGGACCCCCGCGCGGGGAGGGGGCCGACAGCGGGGCGGGGGGAGCAGGAGGCCGCCCTTGCCGGGCATTTGGGAGGGGAGGCCGGGGTCCCTCTCGCCCCGCCGCCCCCGGGCCTGCGCGCTGCGGCTGGGCTGGAGGCGGCTCCCTGCGCCGGACGTCCCCGGACCCGCCAGCCGCCCTCCTAGCATCCTCGGCCGGCCGGCCTGGGCAGCGCCGGGCGAGCCCTCCGGCCGCCTGATGCAGCGGGAGGGGCCCCTTCCCCGGGGTTAGGGGAGGATGGGGGGGGACAGGGGGCATTTCCCCCACCCCACCCCTGCCCCCCTGGGCAAGTGCCAGGATGTCACACCTGGCTGTCCCCGTCTCCATGGCGACCAGGTGAGGGCCAGGCCACCCCCTAGACGCAGCTGAGACCTCGCATCAGGCTTTCGGGGAGGGGGGCTCCCCTGGAAGGTGGCCTTCCGTGCAGCCTCCCCCCCTCGCCTTTTATTTTTTAATAATAAGGCCCGTTGCTCTGACCTGGACCAATGACGTCATAAGGCAAGAAACTCCTGCTCTGTCATCACCCCCCCTCTCCCCCCAGACAGTGCAGAGATGGAGAAGCAAAGGAGCCACACACAAATGGGTCAAAATGTTAATGTGCATTAGAGCATTTAAAAGAGGTTCCCTCCTAAATGACCAAGCATCAATTTTAGATGATCAGGATGATGGGTTTGTATGAATCCCTGCGAGAAAGGCTAGATTTTAATGGATTTTAAGCCATCAAGGAAGCCGGTATTTATCTTCAGGCATTAACAGACCCTCCATCATCTTCCTGCAGTTTTTTTTTTAAACTCTTATTTTTGATTTTGGGTGGAGAGCCATTCCTAGCTCACCAGTCCAGTATTTAATTTCGGCTGTGGATGCGAAGAATGACATTTGTCTTTTTTTGAGAACGGTTGTGAGTGACTTTAGACTGGTATTTGTCTTCAGGCATTAATGGGACCCACGACTGTCATCTTCCTGCAGGTTTTTTTTTTTTTTACTTTTTTAAATTTTTGGATGGAGAGCCATTCTTAGCTCACCAGTCTAATACTTAATTTCTGCCTTGGATACGAAAAATGACATTTCTATCTCTCTTTTTTTTGAGAAAAAAAAGTGGGTGACTTTAGACATGAATCCCAGTGACCCAACTGAGAGACTTGGAGTGAGATTTCAATTCAGCTTTGCATCCCGGGTGTTAAACTACTTTCTCAGCCTTATTTTTCCAGCCTGTGAAGGAAAGGTGTTCTGAAGGTGATCACAGATAAATAAATCATAACCCTGGGGGAAAAAATAGCAGCCAGGGAAGGGAAGTGTGTGTGTTTGTGTGTGTGTGTAATTTTAATATTCCCTTGCAAGGCAAAATGACCTCTAAATTTATTTTTTACTGGTAAAATAAAGGTTAGGCCAGAGAAGTGAGTTCTTTTTATCCTGTAATGGGAAGGTGAGAACACCTGAACTTAAATAACATATTGCAGACTGCTTAAGGCCTTGTTGTCAGTAGGTAAAGTATATAATGCACCGTAAGGCTATAATTGTATATCAACTTCATACCTTGAAATAATTGGGCATAGCTGACTGGTGGATTCTGAGAGTTGAGGTCCACCCACCTTCAAGTCTCCAAGGTTGAGAAACTTTGGTTGAAGACATAATAATTCCCCACAAATTGCAATTTCTGAGAGTCCCCAAGGAGTTGAAGTTGGTCTATAGTTCAGATGCATTAAAAAAAAATTTTTTTTTAGGGAATCAGAAAAATGTACCAGAAGCATCAATTCAACTCTTCCCGATTTGGCTGCCTAAGTTCATTTTCAAATAACACAACCATACATCATTTTTTGGGGAAGCATTGTACAGAAATCCGTACTGATGGGCTCCAAGGAAATCTAGAGAGGTTGGGAGAGAGAAAAATCTTTGTCTTTTGTTAGGCCTGACCCAAAACAGTAGATGCGAGGCCTTCCTCTTGCTACCAAATGCTAAGACAACCGTTGAAGCTGACAAATGTGTGTGTATGCTTTTAAACATGACTTTGTGACAATAAGGGGACAGGCCTAATCTTTTGATAGGGCTTATGCTTGTGGTACTGATTAAGTCTTCCTTCCCAAAAATATAATTGCAGGGTTTGCTAATGGTATAGAAAACCCTGTAAGAATTTCCTTCCATTTTCCTTCTTCCCCCAGCTGTTTTCCATTCCCCTAATAGTCAGCATTTGCTGACTTGCTAAGTACAATTTGTCCTTCATGAGCAAAGATTCTCTTCCATTTTTAAAATGTATTTTAAAATACACACGCATACACACACAAACACACACACACACACTCCCTTTTGCAAATCATAAAGTCGGCGTGCTGAAATTTCCATGTTTTTGCATGGATGTTATCCTTTGGGCTGCCTAAGCAAGGATACGGCTGGTCATCAGATATAGAAAAGATGATGAATCCCAGAAATATTTGCTAATGTATTTCTCTGTTCCAAAACAAGAGATCACGTTGCAATCTGGAAAAAACAACAACAAAGTTTGTGCCTTTTCAAATAATGCTTACCTTAGAACCTTTGTGCGTGCGAGCATTCATCACTCTCATCACTCTCTGTCAGTGCACTTATATAATCACTGTGCTGGTAAATTTCAGATTATCCAAAGGTTTTCAGGTGCCCCCCAGTCATATTGATAAATTAGGAATTATTGACGCTGCAACCTCATGCCTGCTTAGTTGGGAATTAAATCTCCTTGAATCCTGTGTATTGCTTACCCATGTCTGGTTAATCAATTATTTCAGAAATATATTAGACAAGCATAGTCTTATCTAAAGAGAAGAAATAGGAAAGTTTCATTTTCTTGTTATAATTAATATCCCATAAAAAGAGGACTTCCTTGGGATAGTTTGGATAAGAGCTAATGGCATTCCAGGGAAGTATTTTAAATTCTCTTCAGCCTAGGAGGACTCACTAATGAAACTGCCCTGAAACTATTTCAGAAAACGGTAGTTTAAATTGGTCAGATCTAAAGGAAGCACCACGGCTATAAATGCTTAAAGTCGGCCACAGAATGTGTTTCGTGTCAAAGCTTTCAAGAGCACAATCGTTAGATCCGAAGCCTACCAGAGGGAGTTTAGCTGCTTGTTTTGTGGGTAAAGAGGTCCATGGGATGGTATTTTAAATCTCACATCATTTCGGTGCCATGCTGTAAATTTATGTCAAAAGAATGATGGTATTATTTTAGTGAGGAATTTAACTTTCCAATGTTGGGGGTCAAAAAATCCAAAATGTACAAGGAAAGATAGGATAATTTTATTCTTTTAATCACAAATCATTTTCTTGCCCCTGCATATACATATTTATGGCTGTTTTATATCATCTATGTATGCAAACAAGGATTATCTATTAACATTGCATAACTGAATCTGTCTTTATATGAAATGTAATGAACTGTGATGATTGCAGCAGTTTTTTTGCCCTCTGTTGCTGTTCAAGATTCTGACAAAAAAACAGTGAAAATTATCTTTATAATTCCTCTCTCTGTTCTTTCTGAGGATTTTCTCTTGGCTGGTTGATTTTGGAATAGTCAACATTTAAACCAGTTAACCTGCATTTGCTTTGGTAGCACCTGTTTTAGACAGCTAATGCAAACAAGCTTCTGATAGATGTTTTTAAGACTGGGAAAGCCAAAAATAAATAATACAATAAAGCCTCAGCAAAAATCAAATGAGACAGTGATACAGGCAAACAAGCTGGAGATAGATTTTTTTTTTTTTTAGAAAAAAATGGACATTATTTGTTGGATATTATTTATTGGAACTATTCATCAAAGTGGCTTGTTTACTTTCCTTGCACAGAGTGCTCTAGAACCATCAAAGAAAATGGTCCTCTGTGTGATTAAAGCAGTGTTTTTCAAACTTGGCAGTTTTGAGAGGTGTAGGCTTCAACTTCCAGAATTCCTCAGCCAGAGAATTCTGGGAGTTGATGTCCATTCCAGAAGACTAGCTTGTGACTGAGCAGCACCACAGCTTTAAAGCCTCTCCATGCTGACTTAAGGTTTGCTAAGCTAGCAGGTTTGGTCTTTCCTGAGTCAGCCCCTTCACAAAATCCAATATGCCAGAACTGAAAATGGCCGGTTGATGTGTGGCAAAATGGATTACAAGTATACCTGATCCTGAAGAACATTAAAATTGGGCTCGTTTGCTCAAAGCTCCATTTTAATCAGATTTAATCAGATTTTGAGCTACATCATTGTAATGGCTTTAAAAGCTGGTGGTCTAGTACAGTGTTTTCCAACTGTAGCCATTTTAAGATGGGTGGACTTCAACTCCCAGAATACCCCAGCTAGCATAGTATAGTTGGCTGGGGTATTCTGAGAGTTGGTCCACCCATCTTAAAATGGCTACAGTTAGAAAACACTGCTAGCAGAATAGCTTATCAAGTATTTTCTTTATGAAGAGAAATGCTGAATTTTGTGTGGTGATGTCCAAGTAGTAACACACAGAAAGAGTCTATAAAACAGGTTAGGCTGGATTTTCCATTCTCCAAAAAAGGGCATTTGGATATAATTCTGAAGCAGACTTTTTTTTTACAGACATTATGTAGTTGAATCTAGACAAGTGTCTGTTGTTCTTGATACCAAAATTTCCAGTTATATTTGGATTTTCTGAGTCTCCTCGGAGGAGGACATCAAACGGTGAGGGTTGTTTTTTTTTGCATGCATATTTGCTGCTGGATAACCTAGATTTTCAGAGGAGTTCATAATTTTTGAACATTATTTATGAGATGATTCCAGGTGTAAAAATTGATGACGGATATTTTAGGTCAAAGAAACTCTGCAGGGAAGTGAAATTAGTTTTTTGAAGATAAGGAATTGCTTTATTATTTTTTTTTTCAGGTATCCTTTCTGTGGGACACGGTTTATTTCTGGAGCAGAATAATTTTGTAAAGCTTTTGGGGAGTTCTATGGG